ATTTCTATATTTAAAGGTGGGGTAGGTGATTTTGGAGAAACCAGCTCCAGTGCGCTAGAATTTGAAAATACACAACCGGAAAAAATCTGCCACTTCCTTACAGAGCCCCTCCTCCAACACACACGAACGCGCACATGACCAATGAGGGCACGAGATAAATTTGTGCACAAATGGAAGGCTGACAGGCAGGTAGGCCATCCAGTTATTTTAGCCGGGCCGGCTCAGATGATTGGTCGTGCTTTTTACAGCACCACGGCTTCCACAGATGACATTTTTTTATGTATTTATTGTCAAAGCATTTAATGTATTCATTGCTATCGGGATGTTAAGAGCATTCCATGGAATATAACAACAAGTGTTTCTAAGGTCATTAGATTCAGTCTTCTGAAAACTCACAGTTCCTCCTGATGTTTTAAATCAAATGACCTCAGCCTTTTTAAAAATGAGCACCCACAGAACAAGCTAAAAACTCAACATTTAAATATTGACCAAAAAAGTTATTATAGTCAGATTTTAAAAAATGCCTATTTACCGAGGCCGGATTAATACCTCCAGGGGCCCCTGGGCACTTAGAGATCATGGGCCCCCCAACCCTTCCCAAAACAAAAATGCGAGCACACATAACACCACGTAATAAGTTTGCTCATATGGTAATTCCGGCCAAGCTATTTACACCTCCAGCTGACACAGAACCATAGCTCAAGTCCAATATAATCCTCCTTTCATCTTCAGACTCTTCAACAGCGTGTCTCAAACTCTGTGTTTTTTAGCAACCTTCTACTGAAAACGAGTTTGATTCTTAGCCTGAAAACTAAAACAATGCTCTAAAACTGAGTAAACTGAACACCTCTGTATGAACACTATCACTCATGAGCAGGTGAGCTACATCTGTGCCAGAACTGTTAGGTTCTTTGAGCATTAAAAGGTTTAAGAAGAACTGTATGTTTTTTGGTAAGTATACACCTGAGAAGATGAAACTCGGATTTTACTGAGTTGTATGGAAGTTTTAGTGTCCTTCAAGATTCAAGTTACCTTGCTTCGAGTATTTCATATACAAATGGTCATTTTATGGGTGGAGTATTCCTTTTGAGGTAAGAAAACATAAGTGAAGTGGTTCACAAATAACTTTGACCACATTTTATTCCCAAACTGTTCATAGTTTTCAAATGACTCTGTTACTCCTCATATAACTAACTACTGTCCACATTTTGTGTTCTTAGGCCAAAACCATGACAAGACCAAAGACAACCCCCCTATCCTCTCCAGATCCAGCAGTGAGGGGGGCTCAAACAGAATGTCCCTTAGCTCAGACACAGAAGGCCCCCCACCAGGGCCCCTGCATCCTTCTCTATACAATCGAACCAACCCTGTCATCAGCGAAGAAGATGGGGAGGGAGTTTCAACTCCCTGTGCAAACGTCCAGAATGTTGTAATCCACTCTGACGAAAAAACTGAGATGGACTGTACCAAGTCAGAGGTGGACGCACAGGGAGGAAAAGATGACAATAACACTGAGGTCCCTCAGGGAGATGGTACGGCTGCTCAGACTGTACCAAAGAGTGAATCTGCAGCGGGGTTAAATTATGATTCTGTCAAATACACTCTGGTGGTCGATGAACATGCTCAGTTGGAGCTGGTCAGCCTCAAGGACTGCTTGCATGGTTACCATGAGCACAAAGACGACAGCGATTCAGAGACGGTCTATCAGTCAGCCAATGAGGAAGAAGACCCAGAGTATGAGGAGGAGAGGAAGAGGATAGAAGAAGCAACAAAGCAAGGTAATGATACAGCTTCATTCTTAACATGGCTGACATCATTTTTGTCACAAAGCAGTATCACTATAAAGTTCATCGGAATGTTTTTCAAATGAAAGGGTCCCATCTCTTTGGGAGCATGAATGTAGGCTACTCAGCTAAATTCATGATCAATGTTTCTGTTAGGTTATAAGACATCTTGTGTAAACACATGTCTGCATTTGACCATATACACACTGGTGGCACCGTACAAGGTGCCGGCGGCACCCCAGGAGGGATAAACATAAAGAAAAAGAAAAAACACTAAGTGCTTTTTTAGTTAATTTAGGCCTTGTAACTGATTGACCAGCACTATGCTCTTCACTTGTTCGGAGTTTGAATCTTTATGGTTTTTACACTTATTGTAAGTCACTTTGGACAAAAGCTTCAGCTAAATGATATGTAAGGTAATGCAAACGCTCCACACATAAGACATTTGGGTTTTAGCATCTGGCCCAAGGTCACAGACATGTAAACTGCAGGGGCCAGGGAATGAACCACCAATATTCCAATTAGTGGACGACCTCAGCCTAAAACCAGATGCTACGTTGTTATATGTCCTCATGTGGAAGGCTTATTTCATGTCCAATATTGATTCAGAGAAGCATAACTATTCTCAGGGAATTGTATCTTTGTTGTTAAGATTGAGATTTTTAGGAAGCGTTCTCACTTACTGGACAAACGGCTTATGGTTTGGCAAGGGTTGGCATCAGAGTAAAACTGTGCAATGCCGGTTTGTGATTTTAATATAATTGAAGGACTAATTGTCTCATCGATTAGGCGATCAATACAAAAAAGACCAAGAGGACCTATACTGAGCCCTGTTGAACACTGCTAAATGTGCGGAGGACCACACTTTGTACAAGATGATTTTGCAGGTGTAGCTTCAGGACAGAATATCTGAAATCATTTCGACCCCATCTTTTTGCAAAGTTCCTTGGTTGTTGTTTCTTGCTGCAAAGAGTGTAACTCTTACTTGTTTTCGGCTCAAAGAGAGGAGGAAAGAGGAAGAAAAGAGAAGAAAGGAGGAAGAAGTCGCCAAGAAGAGGAGGGAAGAGGATTTGAAAAGGCGGAGGGAGGAGGAGGTAAAAAGGAGAAGGGAAGTTGTGGCAAGGACCTGCAAGCAGTCCAAGGTAACATCCACAACAACTTCAGAGGAAGAGGGGTCTAATGGAGAGAGGGCCGTCCCTTCCAGATGTAAAAAGTTCCTCAACCTGTTTTCCAACAGCAGCACTCAATACAGCGCCACTGGTATGTTTATTGTCCAAGTGTTTTATTTGAACGAAAAATCATTTAAAAGTATATATTCATAAAGTTCCCTTTATTTATCGCCTCTGTGTGTTTGCCTGTTGATGCGCCTGTTGTATATGCTGCTCATTTGAGGTCCTAAATGTTAGTTTTGTTTGCTTTGCCTTTGCCTTAACTCATTCTTTACAAGTGGTATAATATAAGTATATATGGAAGCTGCAGTATCGGTTATACGAGCAGGAAACATTTTACACATTGTTATAAGAACTATGTTGATTTAAGTGTATCTTTTGTTTACAACAACCTGAACACATGCATGCTGCTTGCCATTTGAATGTTGTTTTTTGTTTATGTTAGGATTTTGTTTGTCACATACACAATCCTAACATGTGTTTTTTTAAGTACTCTTTTTTTAAATTTTAGACATTTTAACACAACACACAGAACAATGTACAACACCCGCACACCCCACCACTGATGGCCACACAGCA